TACATAGAGTGTTTTAATGCTTTCATCCTCTGGTGGTTCTAATGAGGGCATGTCTCCAGCCTTGTTGAGTAGCTTCATTGCCACAGGATCATTCACTCTGCACGCATGTAGAAAAACAAAAAACAAATCAGATAAATTCAAACTTATAAAAATTCAGGCACATATGCATTTGAAATTAGTTTCAGTGGGGATGAATACATGCATGCATGCAGAATCAACTTGTGTGCGGTTCTCAGTTCCATCGTGAGAAGCATTACAAAGTCATCAGCTAAACTAAGTATTATATCATTCATGCTCATTTAATTGCCCAAAATACAATAATCGACCTAATGGACCACAAACAAAGAAATCAAATTTGAAACTCAAATAACAATTCAGGAACAGGGAGCATACACCTGCATGCATGCCAGAGATGGAGAGAGGAAAAACATAAATAAAGCTAATTATGCTTGGAGGATGAAATTACAACATTCTACTTACCCATAATAACGATCTTTAATATTTTGCTGTGATAACTCCCCAGTTATGGGCATCTCATGCCTATAGGGGCATTCGGCACCTCGTGTGCATTCACCACGTGCAAAGAAGCTACAAACATGTGCTCGATTTCTTTTGTAGTATGGTGTTGTTCTTTGAAGCTTCAGAATAGTATCATTTGCTTGAGCCTTTCCATATGAAGACTCATAATCAATTCCCGCCCTAGCCTGCATCAAGCAAAGTCATATCAGCTCAACTTAAGAGAACAACAGAATAGAATTAGTGTAACAATCACCATCTCAGTGGAACAACCTTGAATGCATAACTAACTGAACTGCACACTGATTAGGCTATTAGATAGTTTGAAATCCATAACCACAACAGGAGGGAGACAGGATCAAAGGACCTCCTTGGTTATTAAATGAAGGGTCAAAGTTACAGATAAAGGTTTTGGTGTGTAACTATAATTTTAGTATTCATACTTGTGTGAATCGAATAACTTGAATTAATTTTAGTTAAATAAAATAATTTAGACACATAATTTTCATTGCACAATAAATCACATTGATAAGTATCTTCAGGTGTATCATCAAGTATTATGTTTACATTATCATTTTATTTAAAGATAAAAGGCCCTGCCAAGTTTCATCTAAAACATATTAGTCTAATGTGAATCTCAGCATCTAGTTCATAAAACACACTCAGTAGCTCATATAAAACACGACTCTTTAATAAAAAGTACCAGTACAAATAAAAATGGGAAATTGATATCTTTCACTGCTATTATATGGTATATGCAATATGATTCATTCATAAGAAAAAAAGACGTCCCATGGAAACAAGCATGCCACAAATAACAAATGTGGGTTTCATATATGGTAGCTACATCATCAGCTCATTCCAACAACTACATGTCAAAATTACATCAACAGCCACTGGAAAGTAAACATTCACTTGGAATCATCGGTTACCTTGTAAAGGTGATACCCTAACAATCAGAGAGCTCTAACACAAACGAAACAGCGAATAGCTTCTGATCACAGGCAGCCAAAAAGCAACAAAAACAGACTGGAGTTGAAACATGAAATAAACATACCCTTCGGTCATGCTCCTCGGCAAAATACTCTCTATTCACATCACTCTTTGGAATAGCATCATTGGAATTTATACTGAGAGCAGTATCACGAACTTGAACAGGCAAACCATACTCTAGATCCAAAAGACAGACTTGACAGACATTTTTCAACTTACTGCAAGTCTGGCAAACTTCAGTCTTTTTAAATCTCGCATCCCTACCAGGCCTCCACCTAAACACTGTAAATGGTCGAGTGCATATCTTGCATTCCTTATCGAAGTCAGCTCTGGTCTGCATCCCAGCAAGTACATACAACCGCAAAGGAACAAATCATATAAATATCCACAAAGAACAGCCAAACCCCCTCCCCCAGAAAAAAACCCAACTTGGAACACGGATTAATATTGCGTACCATTCTGACATAGGGATTGTCACCTAAGCAAGACTCGCAAATGATAGGAAAGTCAGACCGTTCCCATCCGTCAGCTTCCGGGTCTTTTAACAACCTGTGCGCCATTCCCTTTTTTCTTCAAGGGCAAACACACACTTCACTGCCCTAATCTCTGCGATGGATACCAGAAATTGTTGTTATACTTCTGGTCTCACAAATCAAAATATTGTAAATTCAATTCTCAAAAAAAAAAATATATACATATATATATAAACAGAACAGAACACAAGCAATTAATTTAGGCTTAACCTAATGACATAATCTCAAAAGCGATCACAAAACCACTTTTGAAGCATTAAAAACAACGTTGCTAGAAAAGGAGGAGAAATCTTACACTAAAAAGCCGGAATCTGGCGTGTTCAGATTTTCCTGTGATGAATAAACCAACAGTTATTTATCTTCTTCGCGAATCCGACAATCAATTTGATTTTAGAACCTAGGGTAGGGTGTTCTTTAAATTGCTAAAGAGGAAGAGTGGATTAAGTTCTGACTGTTATGTTATATATATGGTGTCGGCCCAGACTGACCGTGTTTATGCTTGCCTTTGTTGACTGGTTTGACAAGTAAGTCCATGGGCCTACGTACTATGGGTTTATCTACGTGTTTAAAGGTGAATACGCGTAGGCCCAAAAGAAAAGGAATGAAAATAAATTATATATTTTAGTGAAAAATTATAATTTGAATTCTAAACTTTGTCGTCGGTATAATAGTTTACATTCGCTACCTATGCTGACAAAAATTATTTAATTACTATTATATTTCATTTAATAACTAAATAATCTTTGCAATTTTAAAATTATAAATTACAAAATAGCCATTTAATTAAAAAAAAAATTGAGCCCTTTTCTGTTTTACCCGTTTCTCTTACAGAATTGATTCGCTTGATTGTAGACAGTTCCAAAAACGAAACCCAAATTAAATTGATTTTAGACGGTCACCAACAAGTATGAGCAACCAAAGACTCGAATCTGAAATTATAGAAAAAGCAAACCTTTTGATCCCAAATTCTTACCACTTGACCACCACCTAGATGATTCATTTCTTACATAATTGATTCGCTTGATTGTAGACAGTTCCAGAAACGAAACCCAAATTAAAAAATAAAAAAATTATTTTAATGCATTTTCTTAAGAAAAATATTTAAAAATGCACCCCTTGAATCTTTCTGGTAAATTCAAATGATGTTCTTAAATTTAAATAAATTTAAAAAATCTAGAATGAAACAAAACTTCTTACTCACCAAGCCATCCCTTTAAACTTTAAACTATTAATTATTTAGGATTCAGCAAGTTGGATTATCCTGAAAATTAAAAGAACAGTACTCAAATTGTAAGATTACAAAGCTTCTTTACTCACTGTATTGTGAATATTTATCTTACTCTTTATCATTTTTTTTTAATTCAACTAATTTAATTACAACTGTGATGATCACCGATGCTCAAGAATAATTTCAACATATGACAGATGATCAGCATGATTTCCATACATAAGCACCTTACCACATCAGAAAAGAAAAGAACAATATTTATTTCATACAAGTTAAAGCATCATTTTTAAAGAACAGTATTTATCACCCGTGCTTGAATAACGCAAACTCTTTGTTACCGCGTAAAATTGAAGTTGACATTAAACAGCCACGATGTCATGAGAACCTATGCTATATTCAAATTAAACCTTGGCTAGAATGCCCAACTCCCATGAAATCTTGGCTAGAAGTTAATAGGAACCTCGATCAATGATCCTGATCAAATTTGCACATGAAGCCTGCTAAACAAGGACAAAAGCTTCCTATAAATTGCATCACAACTTCTCATGGATCATAGATTCTGATGGAGGTTCTTGCCTTCTTAATCAGATAGTATGTTGAACAAATTACTGCAACCAACAATACAAGCAAAAGAAAACTTAAACAGCATTCAAGGTAAGGGCCCTGAGGGTTTAGATTTTTCAGATTCTCCAGGTCTCGGAGATGGTGGGCTGGAGGTTTTCGACCCTGCAGGTGCTTCAGATCCCTGAGATGAGGGCTCTGAGGGCATGGGCCCTGCAGGAGCTTGGGATCCCTGAGGTGGGGGCAAAGAGGTCATGGACTCTGCAGGTGCAGCCATTGGTTGAAGCACAAGATGCTGATGCTGATGCTGATGCTTCTGTGTGGATTGCACCCCCTGTGGGAGAGGCACAGGAGTGTGATATGGCAGAGGATACTGCTGATACGGTGGCACTGGCGGCATATAACCATATGGTGGATAATGTTGTTGTTGGTATTGCACGTGAGGTGGTGGCATGCTTTGATATGGATAGTGCTGCCCAAGCTGCTTCTCCAATCCAGATTTATTCTCACCTGATCCTGCAGGCCCATTAGGAGTACCATCTTGGGATCCAACAAGGGCACCCATTCTTTGAGGATCCATTGACGGGTAAAATGCTCGTTCTTGCTGAGGTGGTGGGGGAATATTGAAGTAGTGCATTGGAGGATGTTGGCCCTGGGTGCCAGGTGGATTTAAGTGGCTGTGTTGCTGAGATACAACTGCACGGGGCAACATCCCACTATGGGCCATTGCTGCTTGCTGCCTTGCTTCATCAGAACTTTCCATCTCAGGTTTTGGTGCTTGCGGTCTACCCCACATCAATTTCAGACGCAGACCCTTGATGACTAGCCTGTTAGAGAGCTCCGCTGCGGCCTTTTCTGAAATTAGTTTCAGTGGGGATGAATACAAGCATGCATGCATGAAGAATCACCTCGTGTGTGGTCATTGACACTACAAAAATTGTTTTTGACATTCACAAGTTTGAAGTTCTTGGGCAATTGAGTTAAAGGTACGTCAAAAAGCTGCATTTGTTGAGTAGAGGTGGAGGTTTCAGTTCAATCGTGAGAAGCATTGCAAAGTCATCAGCTAAACTAAGTCTTATATCATCAGCTACTGGCCCCATATTCTGGCTGTGCCATGGGAGAATATTTCTGTGATAATGGAATGCACACATTAATAATCTATGGTGATCTTAGTAAACAGGCCGTCACTTATTGACAAATGTCTCTTCTATTATGAAGACCACCTGGTTGATACGTGCTCATATAATTGCCCAAAATACAAAATCAGCCTGAAGGACCACAAAAAAGAAAAAAGAAAAAAAAGAAATCAACTTTGAAACTTAAAGTGAATCCAAAGTGATAATGAAGTTGATGCCGATTGTAAAATATGTTAGGAAGCATTTTTAGCACCATTTCATGATCTTAAATAGCAATTTAGGAACAGGGGAGAAAAGAGGCAAGAGCTAGTAAACGTGAGAGTTTATGTCCCTGTATGCATTTGAGGAATGGAGACAGGGAGAGAGGAAAAACATAACTAAAGCTAATTATGCTTGGAGGATGAAATTACAACATTCTACTTACCCATAATAACGATCTTTAATATTTTGCTGTGATAACTCCCCAGTTATGGGCATCTCATGCCTATAGGGGCATTCGGCACCTCGTGTGCATTCACCACGTGCAAAGAAGCTACAAACATGTGCTCGATTTCTTTTGTAGTATGGTGTTGTTCTTTGAAGCTTCAGAATAGTATCATTTGCTTGAGCCTTTCCATATGAAGACTCATAATCAATACCTGCCCTAGCCTGCATCAAGCAAAATCATATCAGTTTCAGCATAAGAGAACAACAAAACAGAATTACTGCAAAATCCCCACCTCAGTGGAACAACCTTGAATGCATATCTAACTGGACCACACACTGATTACGCTATTCGCTAGTTTGAAATTCATAACTACCAAATTACAACAAACAGCCACTAGAAAGTAAACATTCACTTGGAATCATCGGTTACCTTGTAAAGGTGATACCCTAACAATCAGAGAGCTCTAACACACACAAAACAGTCAATAGCTTCACATCACAGACAGCCAAAAAGCAACAAAAACAGACTGGAGTTGAAACATGAAATAAACATACCCTTCGGTCATGCTCCTCGGCAAAATACTCTCTATTCACATCACTCTTTGGAATAGCATCATTGGAATTTATACTGAGAGCAGTATCACGAACTTGAACAGGCAAACCATACTCTAGATCCAAAAGACAGACTTGACAAACATTTTTCAACTTACTGCAAGTCTGGCAAACTTCAGTCTTTTTAAATCTCGCATCCCTACCAGGCCTCCACCTAAACACTGTAAATGGTCGAGTGCATATCTTGCATTCCTTATCGAAGTCAGCTCTGGTCTGCATCCAAGCAAGTACATACAACCGCAAATGAACAAATCATATAAATATCCACACAGAACAGCCAAACCCCCTCCCCCCAAAAAAAACCCAACTTGGAACAAGGATTAACATTGCGTACCATTCTGACATAGGGATTGTCACCTAAGCAAGATTCGCAAATGATAGGAAAGTCAGACCGTTCCCATCCGTCAGCCTCCGGGTCTTTTAACAACCTGTGCGCCATTCCCTTTTTTCTTCTAGGTCAAACCACACTTCACTGCCCCAATCTCTGCGATGGATACCAGAAATTGTTGTTATACTTCTGGTCACACAAATCAAAATATTGTAAATTTAATTCTCAAAAAAAAAAAAACAAAAGCAATTAATTCAGGCTAACCGAATCACATCAACTCCAAAGCAATTACAAAACCCCTTTCGAAACATTAAAAACATCGTTGCAAGAAAAAAGAAGAAGAAACCTTACACTACGAAGCCGGATTCAGGCGTGTTCAGATTTTCCTGTGATCAATAAAGCAACTGTTATTTATCTTCTTCGCCTTCGCCAATCCGACACTGGATTGGATTTTAGAATCTAGGGTATGGCGTATAAATTTTTGTAAGGAGGAAAAGTGGATTAACTCCAGGCTTTTATATTTATGGATACACCGTTTCGGTCCAGACTGACCGCGTTCGGGCTTGCCTCAGTTTGACTGTTTGACAAGTAAGCCCATGGGCTTACGTCCCGTGGGTTTTTCTAGGTGCTTCTAGGTGAATTACGCATAAGCACAAAATAAAAGAAATGAAAATAAAGGAAAAGGTATCATATGGGGGTAATAAAATAAAATGAATTTGCTTGATCTATTATTGAATGTAAATTATTTTGTAAGATTCTTTTTTAATTAAAAGTATGCAAAAAAAGAGTGGGTATTTTTTTTAAATTGGCGTTACCATTTAAATTTGGATAAATTATATAAAAATATATATTAATTTACCTCGAGGAAATATGTCAACAATTAATTTTCATGTCAAATAAATAAATAAATCTTGATGTGTTTCTATTCACATGAACATCAAAGAAATTTATATTGTCTAGAATAGTAGCAGATCAGCTTAGCAAGATGGAAGTTCAATCGATCCCTCCAAATTATGGCAAAAAGAGTAAAGACTTTTACAAGGATAAAAAAGGGAAATGTTCTTATTTTAAATTATTTTATATATATATATATATTATTTGATAATATTAAAAATAAATTTTAACAAATAAAAAATATTATCTTAACACATTTTCACCTAAAAAACAAATAAAATTTTAATTAATCCTTATTAATTCCATGCTGCCTTCTTTTTATCTTTTTGCGTCGTTGAGGTTTGGGCTTTCAGGTTGGCCGACGCAGACGGCGTCTTTTTGCCATGACCACCGCAGCTTCAGCCTCGGACCCTTTATCACTAGCTTTCCCGCAAGCTGCTCTGCAGCCTTCTCTTCTCCTTCTCTGGTAGTGTAGGTTACCAAAGCAATTGCTCGGTGAGGCACCATTTTTATGGATTCGATTTCGCCGTGGGCATAAAAGTGGTCGCTTAGATGCTGCTCGCTGATCCTCGCATCGAGCCCTCCAACATAGAGCGTTTTTAATGCTTTCATCCACCGGGGGGGAGGGGGGGGTGTTCTAGCGAAGGCATTGCACCAGCCTTGCTGAGTAGCTTCAGTGCCCCTAGATCGTTCTCTCTACAAATACAGAAAAAAAGAAAACAAAAGGGTGTGGGACTGAGTCGAAGCTTCCAGGAGTTCATGCATAATCATACACAAGTGTGCTTGCTTGGGTGGTGGGTAAATAGGTTATAGGCGCGCACGGCCTTTTGAACGGTCTGTGGTGAATACAAATGCCATGCCCGCGGCATCTTGTTCATTGTTTTGGATTTGCTGAAAAAAATAATAATAATAAATTTTTAATCAGTTAAATATTTAAAAAATAAAATATTTTTTTTAAAAAAAATCATAACAAAAAAAATTCATATAAAAAAATATTATAACAATTCATAGTGTTTTTAAAAAAATATAAAACTAAATTATCCACTAGTTTAATATAAAAAAATAAAATCAACAAAAACAAAAGGAAAAAACCATGCAGGAAAACACTATAGGAATCTATAGTATATCATGAAAAAATTTACAATTGTAATTCTTAGCCAACTCAATATTAAAAATAATAAAATCGATAAAAAAATTTTAAAAAACAATCACAACAAAAAAATAATGTGGGTGAATACTGTAGCAATTAATGATATTTTTTAAAAAAAAAATTATAAAACTAAATTTTCAATCAATTCAATATAAAAAATAAAAAAACAATAAAGATAATTTTATAAAAAAATCATAAAAAAAACCATATGCGAAAACACCGTAGTAATCCACAGTGTTTAAAAAAAATACAAAACTAAATTCTCAACTAATTTTGTATTGAAAAATAAAATCAACAAAAATAATTCTAAAAAAAAGCAAAAAAATGAAAAAATATCCGGGGAAAGTTAAAGTTTAACTCTCAACCAACTCAATATAAAAAAAAATTAAAAAAAATAATTGTGAAAAAAAAACATACGAGAAAATATTAAAACAAAACAAAAATCATGTAAGGAAACATTATAAAAATTCACAGTGTTTTAGGAAAGAATTACAAAAAAAAATTATCAATCAACTCAATATTAAAAAAATAAAATTAACAAAGATTATTTTGAAAAAACAATATTATAAATAACCATGTAGAAAAATATTGTAATAATTCATAATATTTTAAATAAAAAATTATATAATTAAATTTTTAATTAATTTAATATTAAAAAAATTGATAAATATATTTTTTTTTAAAAAATACAATTTTTGAGAGAAAAAAAAATAAAACCCAAAACAAAGAGAAAAAAGAGAAAATGTTATAAATACAATTTGCTGCATATGAGCGGCCAGAATACGGCAACCAGCCTAAAAGAGCAGCAAACAAAGAAGCTCAATTTGATCCTTGAAACAAAAAATATACTCCATGTTAACCAAATTGAAAATAATGATGAGCTAAATTAAAAAATAAAATAAAATAATAAGTTGATAATAAAAAATAACAGTGAAAATTAAATTTGTTAAAAAAATGAAATGAGATGCAAAGAGAGAATTTTAACAAACAAATCAAGAAAATAATAATAAAATTTTAAAATACTATTGAAAATAAGGATGAAATTGAATTAAAAATTAAACAAAATAAAATGTTAAATAATAAAATTTAAAAATATAATTTTAGAAAACATTAAAAACAAAATAAGTAACAATTAAAATAAAAAAACCCATAATTAATATAAATATAAATTGATAAAATATATTTAATTTTGAAAGGGTTATAATAAAATATGAGGCAATGAAAGAGAAAGAAAAAAATACAATGGAACCCAACTATTTATTTGCCGTACATAAACACTTAGCCGTTAGGAAAAAAAAGACATGACGTTGCCATCATGGGCAGTTGTCCTCGAGAGAAGCCATAAGCGCCACGTAAAAAGTGTGAGTATCTTTCATTAGATGGCGCGTACAATAAACACTTTGACACCTTTATTTTTGTAATTATTAAAAAACTGAATTGCCCTTCATTCAAGTTAATTATAACTAAAAAATCATGGTAAAAATTAAAAAAATCAGTGGATACAAATTTTCTTTTTCTTGCTTTTAAAAAGTAATCAAATTTTAACGGAGAAACACTTTAACCCTTGTTTTTATTTTATTGCTTTTAAAAATATTCAAATCATTTTATTATTTATCTATAAATATTAAAAGACTGATTTGCTACCATGATTACAATAATAATAATAAATTAAATATATAAAAAAGTTTGTTTTATCAATTAGCTAACTGATCTTGTTTAAAAAAGAGTAAAATAATCATTTATATGTTATAGCAAATAATAATACTAAGTATGCTGCACTCAAAAGATAATACTTTTTATTTATTAATTTAATTTAAATCTTAACTTTAATTTAAGTTTGAGCAGTAAATAAAGTTTCAATACATTTTTTTTAGATTAACGTGGGTGTCCGGGCCAGCTTGCGTGCACCACAACTAATCCCACGGGCCCTGAAGTTAACGACCATGTAAGCCTCCAGTGGCCATCATATAAGCAACCAAGGACTCGAACTTGAGACCACAGAGGAAGCAAATCCCTTGATCCCAAGTCCTTACCACTTGGGCACCACCTAGATGGTTAAGTTTCAATACATTGGTTGAAGGGGTTGTGGTGTAACTTAGTTTTCATTAAAATTTATTTATTTATTTTTTAAATTAATTAATTTTTAATGCTTTAGTTTTAATATGACAATATTAAAAGTAATTTTTATAAAAAATTTTAAAATATTATTTTAATATATTTTAAAATAAAAATTAAATTTTTTTAATTTTTTTTTCAACTCTTGCGGGTACCTTCCATAACCATAGTCCAAGTGGAGGGCAGACGCAGAAACACAAAAGCACGGTCAGAAAACCTAGAAGCTGTTCTTTTCCCCATTTCGCACTCAAAACCTGCGACAAACACCGTATGTGCACATTCCAATAATAAAAATAGCAAAACCAGCATTAAAAAACCACAATCAAAACCCGATCCATAACTAATGGACCGCATCCAGGCAACAAAAGAGCTCGCTTTCCGTGTCGCCTTCTCCGGCCACAGTGGCCACCTCAGGGTCGAGCCACTCTCCACCGTGGAGCGCACCAACCCCGTGAAATCTCTTCCTGACTTCATCCTTGTAATTATTTCTTCAATTACCTGCACGCAGTTAACTTCCTCCCTTTTTTCCCAGTTGCATTTGGCGCCCTTTTGTTCTCACCGTTTAATTTAAATTCTGGCTTTTGCTGTCTTGGGTTTGGAGTTTCATGCTGTTTTTCTTTTTTGGTTGATTTTAGTACAACTTGAGTGTGTTAAATAACTTTCTGTTTACAGGTTATGCGATCTCAGTACAAATTCTGTTATCGAAATTTCACCTATTCCGAGTCATACTATGATATCTGGACATCAATCAATTTTCTTTTAATTTTTGTTTCCATTTCTGAAATGGTAAATCAGTTGCTTAAAGTTATTTCCATGCTGAACGTTGATAGCTGTAATTATATGTATACAGCCCCCTGCATTTCCCAGGGAAACACAAGAATCGATAAAGGAACATATAGAGGAGAAATATCTCTTGCCGAGATTAGATCCCGATGAATTTTCAGCAGAAAAAGCTGGTAGGCAGTGGGAGTTTGACTGGTTTGAGATGGCAAAGCTGCCACTAGAGCCTTCATTGCCACGGTCTGTGGTAGTTCCGACATGGGAGGTACCATTCCGACGGAAAAAGAAGGGATCGGTTGAAGGAATGTGGGAACCCAATTCTGTACAGGTACGTGATGTTCATAAATTTGTTCCCCTACAGAGAATTCCAGTCAACCTTGCATAGGAATTTCAGCTTAGCATGGTAATTTATTTGAGTGTTTATGAATTACGTTGAATAATATGCCATGAGAAATCAAAGGTGTTGGGGTGGTTCTTGAATGCTATCATTTGCTATTTTCCTG